CCGCTGGATCCTTGAACTTGTCCTTTCCCTTAGGCGCAGAACCAGACGCCAAAGGACCAACGGCGCGCACTGGAATATCGCGCGAGGCGCGCACGACTTTCTCCTCCACAGAGCGCTCTCCAACAATCTCTACATCCATCTCAGACTCCTCAGATTCTTCTTCATCCTCAACAGCGATGGAGGAAGCGGTCTCCTTTGCAGACTCAGCAATAGGGCGCTTAGGCATTGGTTTGCGCGGGCGCGCCTTAGGCGCATCAGTAAGGTTGCGCTTAGCTAATCCACAGCAGTCAGCGGCGCGCGCCAATAAAAGACAAGAGGCGCGACTTACAGAAAGTGCAAGCGCGCTTGGACACATCACAAGGAGGGCACCGGCGACCAGGCGCGCCTCCACAGTCAATGTCCTTGGCAATGCAGGCGCCACAGCGCCGCGCTTTGTTCATAGACATGCGCCCGACGCGCGCCTAGCGCAACCAAACATGTTAATAGAGAGGCGCGCCAACAGGAAACAGAAGGCGTACCTTCTTGCTGGCATCAGTACCAGACGCGTCAGTGGCGCGCGCCTCGAGTTCGGAGGCGCCAGTAGCGCGCGCAGCCTGCATGGGAGGCGCCTGAGGAACTGACGCAATCGCCTTCGCCTTCCAGTCCTTCACCACCGCCTCAATCTCCTTACAACTCTTCCGCCCCTGCTTTAACAATTCCGCGCTCTTGTCATCCATCTCCAGCGCCACCGCTAACACACCCGCGCGCGTAGAACAACCGTTCAAAGTAGCCTAGGAGTGTCAGTCCATAACCAAGTCCAATACATGTAAGCGCACTCACCAGCACAGAATACCACTCGCGCAACCACATCTCTTGATCCTCGAGGAGTTCCGCCTTGAGTTCAGGCGCGGACATCACGCATCCCTCCAGGGAGACTAAGATGGAGGCCCAAGCGGTGAAGAGGCGATCGGTATCGGATTCCGCGCTAGCGTCGCCCATAGGCGCGTCCTCAGGAAGCCCTTGCGCCACTGGAACAGGCTCAGGGGAAGGAGTGGCGTTCAGCATAGCAACATTGAAAGTAGGCATGGTGAGAGATTGATAAGAAAGAAGTTAAGAGATCGCGAGAATGCGTCCATCTTCTTATCAACATCTCCCCCGATTACATCATCGATGCTCGCGATCATCAATGGACAACCCTACTCTCGCGATCACCTGATCCCTGTCTATCACCACCTCTCTAAGTCCAGGATCCCGCGCTATAGCACTGAGTGGGGACACTCAGAATGTAAGTCCCCAGGAGATGTAGAGACTCGCGCGTCTCAATGACGAAATATCCGGCCTTTAACCATACATTCCTATATGTTACAGCTCTACTCCTAAGGACCAGTCTCGCGCGAACTCGCGCGCGCCTTATCCGAACTCGCGCGCACTTAGGCGCGCCTTACTTACGCACGCGCTATGCGCGCTTCGCGCGCGCGTTCGCGCACCTCCTCATAGGTCTTCGCGCTATCGTCCGTCCATCCGTCCCATGTCCTTACTGATTCGCTGGTGCGTTATTTCTATCTTATCCATTGAACTAATAAAATCTTCGGTCCGACATCCGCGCTACTTATGGAAAGTTTATTTAAACTTAGTTATAATTAGAGTTGATATGGTTACTCGGTTCGGGAGCGCGCTCGGAAGCGCGCCTTCTCCATTCTTAAATACAGAAGGGTTTCCTTTGGTTCTGGTACTTACTTTTCCCTTATCTTTGTGTACTGGAAAGTGAATAGATCACCTCCCCACTTGTTATCTGATCATATCCTCCTGTCAATCCTCCACCTTTGCACTCACTCCTCAGTAAGATCTTGCCTCTAACGCTTTAGGCGCGCCTTCGCTTCGCGCGCGCATATTCTCGGACCTCCCGCTCACGCGCGCATCTCGCGCGCCTTATCTTCTCGCGCCTATTAGCGCCCGCCTAGCTCACAGAGTTTCCCTCCACTTTATTTCGAGGAACTTCTCTCAGTGGTTGTCCTTTGGGTCGAGTCGTTGTCTCGTATCCCGGTCTTGCTGTTGAGCACCCCTTTAGTTTTAAGTGTTTTCACGTATAGTCAAGATTCCTCATCTACACCGCCCGCCCACACGGTAGGACCAGCCTCCCGGTCTGGTGGCGCCGCACCCGGCTACCGGGCGAATGCCAGTCACGTGGAATCCGCATCAACAAGGACAGCGGAACCTGCAATGCCCATAGCACGCCATCTGACCGGTAAAGAAAATGCAAAGAAGGGAGGAAGGAAACATGCTGCCGAAGAAACTTTAGAAGGGTCGCCTCCTAAAAGGAAAAGAGGCTGAGCAATTGTAAAACAGGTCACCAAGAATGAGATAGAGCCCATGGCGAAGAGACTGAAGAAACGGGTCGCTGAAGAATCCATGGAAGGATCTCCTTCAAAACGCACCCAGAGCAAAACATCCAACCGCCTTCCCACGACGCGTGCGCGCAAACCAAACTCCCGATATGCTACCGACTATGTAAGAACTTGAGCACGAAATTATGCTGCATGGTTTGTATCATAACTCTCTATTCCGGTTTTCTTCGGATACAGAGACATGGACATTGTACATTTTGTTTGTATGGTGATACATAATGCTACTACTACATGGTTCTTTCTATGAATGAAAGTTATAAATCCTCTCAAATCAACCGATGTCTACCGATCACCTTGCTGAAGGTTTGTTATCATGGCATCCAACGGATCCATAATGCGCCTGTGGATGTCCAGCAATCGGTAGATTGCAACAACATCCTCACCGAGCTCTGTCACTCTGTCCCGAACGTCTGCGTATGCACCTATGAGCCTTTGGTTCGCCCGCAATGTGGCTGCCGGAAGTGAGTCGGGCATGCCAGCAGGATTTTGCTTGACCATATTTTGTGTAGATGCATTTCCTGTTCCAAATATATGTAAGGTATAACCATTCTACAAGTCACTACGACTTACGCTGATCAGTACCGATGTTGTTCAGGCGCTGGATGGCACGGTGCATCGACAGGCTGGCCTCCTGAAACGTGTTCCGTTGGGACACTCCATGCGAATATGCTGAGCAAGCTACACGATTAGCAGCATATACAACATATCCGAAAACACTCACATCCAGCATCCGACGTGAGGTCGATTACTTCCGGTATCTCTATGCTCATCGGCCCATATCTGGCGTCTCTTGTTGATTTGGGAGCTGCAATACGATTAGCGACAAGTATAGAATATCAGGACTAACTTACATCCAGAAGACGATGTCAGGTCGATTATATAAAGCCCATCCATCGGAGTCGGACTGTTCGTCCAGCGACCAATTTGTCCGTTTTGAGGGTCATGTCTTGATGCAATATCCTGGTTGTCGGCATCACTTCCCCATCCGCAGTCATAAGGGTCCTCCGGAATCGCGACCGGGGACGCACTGTCGGGATCTTTTTCTTCCTCCCATCTGCAATCGTACAGGTCTTCTGTTGCAACACTGGAGATGAATGCTGCACCATCATCCTGCTGATTGCTCCATCCGCAGTCGTATGGATCTTCTGCGCATTCAACTGTCATAACCGAGTCCGTGAGCCCAGCACCATCATCTGGTCGATGCTCCCATCCACAATCATATGGATCGTCTTGATGGCCGATTGTCATCGACGAGGCCGTGGGTTGCGCATCTACAGCATCCTCCCATCCGCAGTCGTATGCGTCTTCTTCCTCAACCATAGGCAGACCCGGTACCAGACCATTCTTCGACTCATCCTCCCGTTCAAAGTTGTTTGAGTCTTCCTTCACTCCCGGTGTATCGACTTCCATGCGATCATCCCATCCGCAGTCATAAGGATCTGCTTGCTCTCCTGAGAACAAGCTCGAGAGGATATCTTCTGCAGCTGGTGCGTCCTCCCACCCGCAATCATAAGGGTCCATTGTTAGTGATCCGGCGGTATCATCCGCGGCTATGCTAATGATTAGTTTCACCCGAGCAGGGTATGCGGGCGCTCACCTCTATCCGGCCCCTTATCTTCATGCATGGGTTCATCTACGGAACCACTATTCACCTGCGTCAGACTGAGAGGCGACCAGTCCAAGTTGGTGAGTCCCCGGGATCGTGGAATGGCCTTTGCTGCAATGGCAGTACCGTGAGTCATGTCAAGGACATGGATATCTTTAACAAAGGATGAGAATATCTCTATATTGTGACGGGATGTGACATACCAGCTAGCATGCTTGTAACTTCATCAAATTCTCCGAAAAAGCACATGTCATATCCTGTGTTATAAAGTTAGCTTAGTGATTCAAGTCAGGCCAGAGAATAACATACTTATGTCCCTGTTTGCGATGGGATCATTTGTCCACTCTTGGCTCAACTGCACCTCATCAGCCAAATTATATTCTGGGAGAGTTATGAGCATTCCCGGGTCAGAAGCTTCGACAGCCGACTTACGTTTGAACCTTATATAAGGTTCCACTCCAATCAGGCCCTTAAACCTCGGGATCTGGGAAAGTACGGGCGGAATCCATGAGTCCAATGGGGTATATCCACACCACCAGGCGAGGGGCCCTTCGAATTTGTGTTGTGCTACCTCCGGAGAGTCGCTACGCGTAGATCTGAGTGAGTCAGAGGAATTGACATAGCTACTATCAGAAGTGGCACTGGTGACCGAGTCATCGTCATCCGAATATACCGCTGTAGCAAAGCGAACTTGCTTTCCAAACATGACTGTTTTGTGTAAAATAAGGAGGTCAGGGAAGGATTACAATGGGCCAAGATGTACTTCCATATGTGGATCACCCGACTGTGGCACTGTGGTTGTGGCAGTGGAATGCGTGGGACAATAAGCTGTATTACGTGATAATGGTGTTAACAGGTCCACAGCACCGTGCTTCCATAATGGCCACGCGTTCTCGGAAACGCCCATAACCAAAGTATTGGTATAAATCCCGAGACTTATGAAAAAGAATCGAAGTTATCTTTCTTTGCGTATACCATCACCCGTTGCTCACTAGTTTCTATACGCAATTATGACACCTTCGGAGATAGCAAACAACGCTCTCCAGGCTACGCTCGAGACTGTACAATCATTGATGAAGCGATGTATGAAATTAAAGGAAAGTGATCCAGGCACACTGACGTTATCGGATGAAATCACCAGACACCTGGTGAGTTTTGCTCGACTAGATCTATACTGTGTTTTGGATAACTAACTACATTTGGTGCAGGCAAAAGATTTGAAGCTGTATGGGGGAAGCGCGACATCGTTCTCCCCTCAGCTGCTATCCTGTGCCGCCGTAGTACGGGAGCACTCCAAGGCTGGCATTTTTGTGTCATTGCCCGACTGGAGGACCGTCATAGACGACGACCCGCGCATTAGGAGTCACCCGCGGTTTCACAAGACCGTGGACTACCGCCCCTCCACCTTGCCCGAACACAAACCCCCCGCGTCGGCGTCGGCGGTCCCGGAGGAGGCTGCAAAACCTCTTGCAGAATCCATCCCTGTAATGATGCCGGCGACGCCATCTGTTTCAAATACATTCGTACCTAGCACTCCCGTGTTGCAAACCTCGGAGGTTCCGGTAATGGAACCCATGGTATCGGACATCCGAAGTAGCGCTGCCGACACAACAGCATGGGAGGCATTGACCCCCCTTCCGTATTCCATCGCTCCCGTGATGGTGAGACACAATATCCCTATGGTTGGAGGCATGAAGACACAACCGGAGACAACCTTGCGGCCCAGGAAGACGAAAAGGAAAGTAGAAGAGAGCGACAATGATAGCAAAGAAGCGGAGGCATTGAGCGGACTCACACAAACGCCCATATCCCAGAAACCAATTCGCAAACAGAAGAAGAAGTTTATGTCGGATGAAGAGGACCACAGGGCCGCTGGTACCATTATTGTTAAGGTGACTCTCATAGTATATCTCTGGTCATTGCTCACCGGAAATTGATATAGCACAAGGCTTTGTCGGTCAAGACATTCAATGTTGTGGCTCCAGATGCCACATCAGCAGGTACTTCCGCACCAGAATGGTTGGACGACAGAGGCTTTTGGGATGAAGAAACCAGGGTGAGTCGTCTCTGCCTCTGTGAATTCGGGTCTTACTTCCACGCTTTTAGCCTGCCAGATGGGGTCTGGATTCCAACATCGCCATAACGGTGGAGGTAAGTAGGCAAGCAAATGCATGCTGTCAATGTTTGCTGACCCATGGTCCAGCAATCCGTTCGCTACCACTCCTGGAAATGTGACAAATGTGTCAAGTTGAAGGTTCCTTGCGTTGTTCTTCCTGACAAGAAGTTCGGATTCACCAGACTAGCCTGCGCAAACTGCGATGAAATGAAGATCGCCTGCACGATCGACAGCGCTGGTGTGAGGCAGAGGTTGCAAGTAAAGGCGAAGGAAGCTGTGGGCGAAGCGAATATCAATCCTCTTCCCAAACGTCCCAGTACACGGGCAAACAAGTCGCACCCTGCCGCCAAAAGTCTGGAAAAATCTGCTCTGGCGAAGACCACGAAACCGGCCACGTGTTCCAACTCGCATGCGGCGCAAACGGTTGCCGTGGATGATACACTGAACGGTATGCCTCTCGGTGGTATCATTGGAACTCACTGAGCTTTGCCCCTGACATAGAAAAACCCACGAGGCCTAAATACGAGGCTCCGCTGGCACCCCACAACATGGGGTCGTCGGATCTTTCCACACCCTCGGAAGCAGCGCTCCCTGCAATAGCATCCATCCCAGCGCCATTTCAGCCATCGTTACCCACCAATCTTTCGGAGCCGGAACCTAGCGGAAGGGATATACTCCGAAGCATCCAGGACCTTGGCAGGAGATTCGATCTCCTTGCAACCAATGAGCGGGTGGACACGTTGGATGTGAGGGTTGATTCGGTGGAGGACAGGTTTGGATGGAGGCTAATGGAGCTGGAGAAACAGATCACTGCCTCGGATGTGCGTTGGCAATCAGTGACATCGTCCATGGGTAATCTATCGATGTCCTTGCGAGTGCATAAGAATGATCCGGCAGTTCACCGTCCTGGTTCCTCCAATGATTCCACATACAAACTGCAAACTGCCGCCGCTGATGAACGCCTGGGAATCTCGACAGTCGGTAGGGAACGCACATATGCGTGCAATTAGTCGATTATGACGGATGTAGAACGTGATATCGGGACATTGGCATTCATTGTGATGCACGCCTGCGCCCCAGACTCTCCTCAATTGGATGAGGATTCAATCCCATGTTGCCGACTCTTCACAACATCATATGCGAAATCGGACGGGTGGGTCTTTACCAGTTGCATACCATGAGGTCATCTTGTTTCCTACTTTTACATTCCAAAGTTACGTCGGATTTGACTATATTGTATGAAACTAGTAATGTCAATCCAGTAGAGCAATCAACTACAGCTACATCACTAGTATCCAAAGCAAAGCATATAAACCGAGTAGTAGGCAAAACTGCATGAAATTAGGTGACGCCAGCCCCACAACTCAATGTCGATCCGGATATGACATAAATCTACTTATCGGACATTGCTGACGGCGTGCTGGACAATCGGGATGATTTGATTGAATTTGCGTGAATAACAGGGGTATCATGATGATAACCTGTCCGTGCAGCCGATGCGGATGTTTCGAGGCAGCCTTGCACACCAGTCGCTACAGATGGGTCCCATGCATGCATCCACTGTCTGCCAACCGTAGAGATGCCCACATCATCAACACCCCCGGCGCCATGGAGCCACCCCGGAAGTTGAGCAGTCGGGTGCTGTGGAGGAGCGTAGGCCGTGGTGTTTACACGAGGTCGATGGGCTTCCAGGTCGTCTTTGTGGTCCCGGAGACAATTTGACAAATGCCTGACCGACGATGACATGGCCTTCCATTGTGCATCGGATGAATTTATGAGTCACTCTAAAGTTGCCAGCCGATGGCCAAAGACTTCCTCCACCGAATTGACCTTGGCATCCAATGCATCCACCCTCTCATTGGTGGCAAGGAGGTCAAACTTGCTCCCAAGGTCCCGGATGGCCTGCAGAATGTCTTTTGCGGTTGGCTCTTGTTCCGCTGGACGATCGACTCCCATAGGGTGGACTTGCTCCGATTGGCTGGTCTGCCCGGGTTTGGCAATGAGTGAGACCAGCGTCTCTTCCACAGGAGTCACTGTCAAATTTATCGGTTGTTTCTCAACATCTAAGGCAGTTGCGGATAAGGACAAGTGCTATTCTGAGATAGCTGCACTCACTACCACGTTCGTCAATTTCTTTCACAACAGGGGTGGATAAAGGCACGGCTGGCATGGTCAATGGTGCCGGTGGGTCCTTTTTCAACATCTCGCTGACAGCTCGGGCCTTGGGGACGCGCGACCTGGAGCGCTTGGGACGATCGGCGGCTTGTGTCACCGCCGTTGCTTTGGCTTGAGCCTGCAACCTGTCCCGGACCCCCATTCCATCAATTGCGCAAGTCACCTTTGTCCTGTCGCAATTCGTGCAAACGAGTCGTATGCATCCGACTTTTTTGTCCGGCAGAACAATGCAAGGTTTGCCTGATTTCTTGCATTTGTCACATTTCCGCGGATGGTAGCGAATGGAATGCTGACATGGGTCAACATGTGCTGCCGTTGACAAGTCAAACAAACGTACCTCCACTGCTGTAGCAATCGTTGAATCCAGACCCCAATCATTAGGCTGAAACATTTGTATAGTAAGTTCC